ACCCAAGTCAGAAATTCTAAATGTTATTTTTCCACCAATCACCAGGGCATTTTTATTATCTTGTAAATAAATATACTGAAATCCATCCCTTCCTTTCATCTCCAGTACCAGTGCCTAAATTTAGGTTTGCATAAAATTTCAGTAACTGATCCTTCTATTTCCAGCGTCTTTGTCTAATTCGTCCTCTACATCATGAAAGATTCTCTCCAAAAGTGTTTCTTCAGTTTATAGGAAGAGTCCAAATTCTTTGACATGACACAAAAGGTCCATTATCTGGTCCTTTCCTGCCAGAAAATAGTCTATGTCCTCCATCTATGAAATCTCTGCCAGGTTCGATCACACCGAACCTGGAATGCAGGTGCAGATCCTTCCAAACTCATGGTTTCTCAAGCCACCAGGTGTTTGCACACACTATTCCCACAGCCTGGAGTATCTTTCGCATTATGTCCACCTGGAAATTGCCCCGAATTATTTTAAAACCTAGTTAATGCGGCCTCCTCGGTTAAATCTCCCTGGTTCACACCATAGCTCTCTCTCCTCTCCTCCCTCCCATTTCCCCAACAAAAACAGGGTTGGGCATTTCTTCCACTTCACTTCTACTACAGCACTTACCAAATTATGACTGTTTACACATCTGTTTTCCTCACTAAATTATATGTTCCTTGTTGATAGTACACTTCCTCTTGTTTGCATCCCTACATCCTAACATACAGTTGGCACTCAAATATTTCTTGAATAAATGAATGCTTACAGAAGTGTTGTGATGTATCAAGCTTTGTCTCCATCCAATAGGATCATGGAATATGCTTCAAAGTGCCTAAAGCCATTCCAGAATTGTGACTTCTGGCTTGGGGGGTGAGGTTGGGGATGCATATATAAAAGAAGGATTCACTACAGTGGACCCAGTTTATCCAGCATCCAGAGGAACCCACAGAAGTGATAAGACCACACAACAAAAATTTCTACACAAGAAATTTCTATAACATTATTTATAATTGCAAAAAAATATTTTAAATTGGAAACAAGTATGAAACTCAAAATGACTAACTAAACGAAGGTTTGTTCAATGGATTCTTTTACAATAGTATTTCTGAAGCATATTTAATGACCAGGGAAATTGCTGTTCATTCCAATCAAGTAGGAAAAAAAGATACATCACAACCTCAATTTTATAAAACCCATTTTGAGAAACATATTGGTTTAAAAATATTTAGGAAAAAAGCCTAAAATAAACTATATTAAATCATTAACAGTGTTTATCTCTGCATAATTTTTCTATAACTGTCATTCAACAAATGTCTGTCTGCTATTTTACAGTGGTGAACAAGAGATATTTATCTGTTCCTGTCCTACTGGAGCTAAACATGATATACTTTAATAATCAGTCAGAAAACGCAAAACAGGTTAGGAAAAAAATACATGGGACTGCCCACCTTAAATTTATATCCCACGAAAGGTAAAAATGGTTCCTAGAACTTCTCTGGAATCAAGGCTGGAAACAACTCTATATAAACATTTGGATAAAGACCACTGAATGTTTTGTGCTGTGATTATAAACAGTATCATGATACTATCATTGCCTAGATCACTGTGGAGAGAAGGTAGTAGAGACACTAAATTTTCAGACCTCCTCTTCCTTTTAGCAGATTTAAAAATTAACAGTAATTACAAATAAAATTTGCACAGTGGAAAGTTAATCCTTCATTCATCTTCAACCACATTTCTTTTCTCTTTTGTGTTTCTTTCCCCTCCACCAGTTCTTACTCTCACCCTCAATGATTTACCCCATTTATCTAAATGAATCTTTACATTCCTCTTCTTTCAACCAGGGAATAGCCAATTTAAGATTGAGCTGTCCCCTCTTGGGATTCTCAGGAGACAGGTCTTCAGAGAGGATCTGTTGTTTTGAAGAACATAAAAATAATTCACAAAAAATCTCAAAGCTATAGTCCTTTTAAAACTCCTGCTTCATAAGCTATCTGAGGTGTTAAAAAAAAAAGGGTAGGGATATTATCTGATAAGAACAATGACTAATTTACCTTCATTAATCTTCACTGTATTTTACTAGTTTATATCACTGATTGGAAATACTTCTAAAACTTCCTAGGGTTTTCAGCTCACTAGAAACACAATGATAAATAGCAAAATTACTCCAACTGCTCTGAGCTTAAAAACTTCAGCACTACAGCTGAATGGTACATGGTTTTAGGTATATTAAGGAGTAAATATAAACTGACAAAATTCTGTAGGACTTAACAGCGCTGAAAACAGATGTGCTATGAAAGTTTTCAAGAAATATTTTTCCTAGAGAACTCAAATAATTGAAATTTGTAATAAAAATAAAAATGCAGGGTATCATAAGACGGCATTACAGGAATACAGAGTATAAAATGCTAATATAGTATTGTTATGTCAAAAGCATATGCCCACAGAACGAGGTGATAGAATTACTGATATTTATTCATCCATTCATCAAATTTTTAGAAAGCACTTACTCTGTGCCAGACATAATTCTAGGTGCTATTAGACACAGAGCAGTGAACAAAACAGATAAAACTCCTACCCTCATAGAGTATGTATGCTAGTGAGTTGAGATTGAGATAAACAATAAGAAATATAAAACATTATTGCTAAATGGTAATAAGTGCAAAGGAAAAAATAAAGCAGGGGAAAGAAGATGGAGAGGGTGTAAAAGCAAGAAGGGAAGGGAGCAAGCCATGTGCTGTCTGAGGAAAGACATTCTGAGCAAAGGGAATAAGAGCAAGAACAAAGGCCCAGAGGCGTAAGATGCCTATTATGTTTAAGGAAGAGCAAGCCCAACAGTGTAGCTAGAACTGAGTGAAGGAAGGGGAAGAGTAGGTGATGAGGTGGAGAGATCAAGGAGGGGCTGGGCTTCCTGGAGGAACATTTGAGGAAGACTTCCCTGGACAGGTAGGATAGCAACAGGTGGAAGTGGGAGGTGATTTCAGGTCATTAGAAGAAAGGAAAAGACAAGGAACCAGAGTTGAAGATGTTTAGGAATCAGAGGCTAGACTAGTGTAGAATGAGTGTACATGTAAGTGTGAGACAGCATGAACGTGAGGGAAGGGGATTATGCAGCGGGGGTGGTGGTGAAGGTGGTATGTGATATTCTGTCTTTGATCCTCTGTTTAGGAGCTGTGGAAGAGAGACAGGGTAGGGAGGCACCAGGGTGAAAGAAGTATTAGCTGCCCCTTTAATATAACCCTTTGACTTCCCTTTCAAGCATAAAATCCTGCTCCGGTAGCTGCTTTAGTTGCTGTTATTTATAAAGGAAAAAGGTAGAGGTCTTGGGCTTTTTGTGGGGAAAACACTTACATACGTATTAAATCATAAGACAAAGATGACTAAAAAGTAAGACTGAGAAGGCAAATAGGAATTTGAATTATTTAAAGAGCATTCCACAACATGGCTAGCCCATGGATAAACAAGAGTTAACTACCTCTAATTCTACATAAAGAAAAAGAGGATTATGTTATAACTATCCACTTAGAATTTGAAAGTATAGAAGGCAAGAGCTGAGACCTACCTCACAATTCAACACCCCATACCTAGAACAGTGCCTAGTACAGAAGATTTAAATACCTGTTTAACAAATAAATACAAAGCCAACGCATTACAATCCATCTCAGTAGAATCTAACAGTGCTAGAGCTGTCATAACACCACTCTGAATTGTTAGTATCATTAATAGAGAGGATATTAAACCAAAGCAGAAATGTTTTCCTTCCTCATTACCACCTGTGCAAAACAACATAACCCCGGAAGAGTCTACTAGTTAATTACTTATATGACACACAGGGCCCTTTCAGTTATGTGCAGGAGTGTTGTTTGGAATGATGGGATATATACAATGATTAAAGTCAATAAATAAAGCTGTTGCAAGATCAAATAAAATTTCCCATAAATACTTATATGAGTCGCATTAATACTTCCTTTTGGAACAGAGAACAAAAAGCGTAAGGGCAATCTGAAACAATCTCCTTCCTCTTGATCGTTGAAGAACTAACTCAGTGGACTTAGAGAATTGGGCTTGCTTCTCTATGATGTTTTCTTAAGTCCCTAGTTAAGAGTAACTCACCCTCATCATTTGTCTCAAATATTGCAAAAGAACACAATTAAAAAGACAGCAGTTCTCATCCACTCTTGGTCATGGGATGTTATAAATCCCAGAGAGAGAGAGGAACTGCTAAAGTAGAAAAAAAACACAAAACCCCAAAAAACCATCAACCAGATACAAATGATGAAACTTCTGCCAGGAAAAACATCTTTCTGCATAGGATAATGTTTGTGCACACATTTTGATCCAGTATTAGATTGCGTACAGTTAAAATTGAAAGGGTTTCATACGACTTTTAAAACGAAGCTCATCCATTTTAAAAAGTTTTTTTTCAATGCAAATATCGGAATGTCAATATTCTTTCCTGTCTACTATCTTCCATGAAGCACTTTTCCATGCTAAGACTAGAACATCCTCAAGTGCAACTCCATAAGCAGATTCGAACTCTCTTCAATACCATAAAAAAGGTTCCAATGCCTTTATACCACCAAAAAAGTCCAACAGGGGTTTGCCAAGGTGTGTTTAGTTCTGCTTCTTGGTAGCGATTTGAGCAAGCAATGAACGGAGTAAAAGGGATCCCGGCCGCTTCATCTCCATGAAGCAAACAATAAAAGCATCCTCCCCGCTCCTCATACTTGGTCAGAAGGCGGCCCTATTCCCGAGAGCCAACCGACCGCAGGAAATGAGCCCGGCTCGGGGCCGGGGCCGGGGCCGGGGCCCGGTCCGCCTCACCTTATACACGTCCCCGTAGGTGCCGCTGCCGACTCTCTGGACGAGCTCGTAGTCCTGCTGCGGGTTCCGCCTCAGGATGTCCGTGGCAGGCCGCAGCGGGGCCTCCATCTTCGCTCAGCACCCGGCCCCCGCCGGTTCTGCCCGCGGCGCCCTGTTCCCGCTAACGAGGACGAACAGCGCCGCTTCCCAACATGGAGCTTCTGCCCGCAGCTCCGCCTGCACGAGGGACAAGCAAAGGCGGGTCGGCGGCGCCGCGGGCTACGACCCCGAGTGGCCCAGCCCCTTCCCTTCCGCCCCACGGGGGGCCGCAAAGGAAAAAAAAAAAAGGCGGCCAGTAAGGGTCCCCGGCGCCCCGTAGCCCCGTTTCGGCCGCGACCCTTCTCCCTCCCCGGCCGCCTGCAGGCTGTCCGGCCCTGCCTCCCCGCCTGCCGGGTCCCAGAGCCAGCTCGGTACCTGAGGGGGGCGGCCCCTCTCTTTGTTGAGCGCCGCGCCCGGGACCTACTTCCTCGCCGGCGCCTGCGTCCTTCTTGCCGGCGCCTGCGTCCTGCTTCCCAGCGCCCGCCCGCCGCTCCAAGCCTTATGCCACCGCCTCCCGCTGCATCGCACGTCCTCTCGCAGGCGGCGGAGGCGCGTACGGTCTCCGCCGCCGCCGCCGCGACCGCTGCCGTACCACGTTCCCCACCCGGGGCTGCGTCACCGGGAGACACGTTCCCGGCCAGCGTGGGTCGGCGCCCAGCGGCCCGCCCGAGCGCGTCACCCGCAGAACTAGAGTGCCGCCCTGAGGCCTGATCGGGACACGACACCCTCCCGGCCCGGCCACCGCGCCCCCGCTGGTCGGGTACGTCTTTTCAGGGCCCGGGCTTTGCTACCCTTCCATAGAGATTAGGGGCGCCCTTCGGCATTTGTGAGTCAACGTGCCTCTGCTAAACTGCCTCAGATTCGTCAGGTAAACTCTGTGACCGGTAGAGGGAGAAGAGTGGGCACGAGGGAGATGGGAACTCAGCCCTCCCAGTTCAACACGGAGAAAGTACGTTGAGGACACTGGGCCAGAAGTTACCTGGAAGTGGGGCGTCAGGGAAGGAGGTGGGGGCATGCCCGGTTAACTAAACCGCGGCACACCCTACTGCACCTTCCTGTTTCGCAAACCATTCCCAGTGGTACCAGTTTAAGGCTGCACTGCACACCTGCACAACCTGTCTTCTACTGAGTTTTCCGAGACATTTCTGAAAGCTTGAATTCCTAGGAAGTCCCAGTGGCCTTTATTGCTGTTTTACACACACAGTGTCTCACCGCTGGTATTGTAACGCTCCTTTCATTGGATCAGGAGTTCTGCAGAAGCTAAAACAGAGTCAGGGACCACAACCTGGTTCTGGTTCTACCACTTTTTCAATGTGTTATCTGAGACACTACATCGTATTTGGCAATATCTCGATACCCTTATCTGCAGCTTACAGAGGATAAGGTTTTGCATCTGACATCCAAGAAAGTGTTCATAAAGCATTTTACAGGATTATAAAGAGGGATTATCAAACATAAGAGGTTTTAAAATACTTCAGAAAACACAGAACATCAAACAATTTCAGAGAATTTGGTTGATATTTCACAAGCTGGTTTGCAGTTTCAGTTCCAGTTTTGTTCTGAAGGTATGAAGAAAGTTGCCAGATTTATGTATATTGGCAAAGTTATTTCTAGAACCCAGTAGAGGTTTTGAACAGAAAAGCCACATAACGCTCAGCCAATGCATTTAGTGACTGAAAAATCACAAAAGAGCAAGCTGCAGATGTTGGCTTGTGGCTTTGAACATCCAATTCAATTCTGTTCTTGGGCAATATCCTCCTGTTGCTGATCATTATAATCAATTGTATAATGTAGAAATTAAATTCACACCTTAACAGGACAGGGAATACATGTATTTTCTTGTGCTCCCTGCACAAAGGGCACTTATTTAGGGAACATAAGTAAGCTCAGACTTAACATGCTCTATGGACAAAGCCTATGTGTTTGCTGCATTGAAAAAAATATTGAAGAACAGTTCCTTCTTTCAAAGCTTCTTGGCACTCGTTTGGGTGGGCACATACTTTTGGCTTCAATCACTCAAAATCGTTTCAAATGTTCTATTGGTATCCTAGTACTTGTTTACTGTCATAGATTTTTTTTCTTTTTTTTTTCTCCTGTAACCCTACAAGCATTGATCCTTTCTCTAGTCTGAAATATATTTATTCTTATTTATTGTTGCATTATTCCACAGAGAATATGGGGCATCTTACAGAAAATACATACTATAGCACAAGACAAAAATAAGTAAAGTAGGAAATAGGTATGATGTTAAAGAGAAGGAAAATAGGATACCAGGACAATGTAACAAATTAACCAAAACAGAGGGCTTTATAGTGTTTTTGAGATCACAATGAACCAATTGATCAAGAGAGAGACACATTTTTTTTCCTGATTCTAAGACTTGAGAAAAATTTACCTCATGAGCCTTCATAAAGTGGAAACTTTGAATTCCCAGTTTGAAATAAGGATAGATGTCCTTCTGATGATCCTTCAAGCATGTTATTCTTGAAACACAATGTTTCATACGAATTAATAAAAAAAAGTGAGGTCATAGTCTTCAACAAGACCCTGGAGTGCAGATATTTTATGTTGCCAGTAATGGCAGATCCATATATTTTGACCATAAACTCGGAGGCAGATAGCATGGAAAAAGTCAAAATTCTATGTGGTGGTTAAAAAATGTGTCTGCTATAATCATTATTTTACTTGTACCACAGTTGATGCAAAGGGAAAAGCATTTGCTTTATACTAACTCCAAAAGAATCTTAAGGATTTTTAAATATTTAGTGGTTGGGTTAATTTTAACAAGATCGGTGAAGTCATAGCTAGTGGTTAACTATTACATGGTTGGTAAAGAAATTCAAATTCAATTTCCATAAAATAAACATACAGTGCATAAATTTAATTTTACATCCTAAACAATTAAACACATAGTTTCAAGGTTGAAGGCTACATAATTATAATTTAAAAAACTGTAGCTAACAGGAGAGTTCCTTACAAACTACTCAATTCAATAATGACAAGTTATGGAATAAGAATAAATATGGCTTCATAGGCCTTTTATCCCATCTTATTATCTTATTTTCTTAGTGTCTTCATATCATATGACATGCAAATTTATTCCAGCTTTTACTCTAATCTACATAACAACCTATAATGGTTTGTTCTATGCTTTGTAGTATTTTTCCCTTTAGTAAAATGCTAATTGTAATCTGTGGCCTCTGGTTTTAACTTTACCCAAGGCTGAATTTTAAAAAACTAGGGACATAAAAAATTTTAACTTCTATAGGGGTAAGATTCACAGTTTACTATCCAAGACAGAATGGCTAATTAAAACCCTCAAGTATCCTAGATGAAAGAACAGAGCATGAAGACAATAATTTTAGTCTATGGAACATAGAGGTTTAAGCAACATAATCTCCTGATGAATCTTCCAAGATAAACTAGTTGCAAAATGTAACTGTATGATTGAGTTGACTTCTCTATAGGTTTGTTAAATATAAATCAATTAAATGTTGGAAGACATCGGCCATAATTATGATTTGAGTTTTCAAATAGTTAACCTTAAACTATTCCTTCTCTTACTAATTAGGGCCAGTTGTCTGTTGAGGCAAAAATCATGTTCTCAAAGTACGTATAGGAGAATTCTATTTTGTTCTGGATAGCAGTAGAACATGTATATCATTTAGAATCAGTATCAGGTCATTATGATGGGAGTTTTAAAAAGAATTGAGGAAGGCAGTACACATCGCTTTTTTTTTTTTAAGATTTTATTGGGGAATTGGGGGAGGGTAACAGCGCTGGGGAATCTAAGGAAGGGGAGCAGACAAGTTGCTGTCCTTTTGTTCTTCAGTCTATTTGTGGAGGATGTAACTTCACTGGCTCATGTTGGTATTATCATTGCACTCTTCCAGGGTGAGGCAGATCGGTCGCCCGCCTCTGGACGGCCGCTCACAGCGGCTCTTGGCAGCTCACACCGGCTGCCGACCACACAGGGTAGCTTATGGCAGCCCACACCATCGCCAGCGACTCACGCATCCCAGCACCAGGTTGAGCTGTTGTTCACCATGTTAGCTGTAGAGGGCAGTGTCACTGGCCCTCATGTGGGATCTGAACCGGGGCTCTGCTGCACAGAGCTGGCGTCCCAAGCCAGCTCTTAACCAACGCGCCACTCGGCTGGCCCCACATTGCTTTTTTATCCAGCTTGAATTACTCATGTAATATGTTAAAACATTGTTGCTATTACCTTGATCCCAATCGTGGTTTTAAGGTTTATATGAGAATTGATGTCAAGGTTCCTCTGTTAAACTCACAAATTGGTCCTGTCTGCAAATTCGATAACTAAGAAAAGATACAAATTACAAATACGCTTATGTTGTTCGTTATCGATTTCCACATAACATAATGAGTATAATGTTCAGAAAAGGTGTCTAAAGTTTGCTTACACCTCATTTATAGACTAGTGTTCTGAGAAACTCTAGTACCCTGTCTTACAGCTATAACAGCTCTTGCAGGATTCTAATACACTCTTTTTCCTTACCCCTTTAGGGCAAGGATGATAATGGTTTCCCACTGTTGCTAGTCTCACGGTGTTTCACTATCCCTTGTTGGTTCCTTTAACCCTGTCCTCATTTTTATAAATAGTTATTTCATTAGATTCTCTTTCTGTGCTACCTCTTTCTTGCCAGAACCCTGATTGATAGTTAGATGAATTGGAAGTAGCCTCAGGAAAGAAACCCTCGCTTTCTGGGGTGGTATTACTCACATATCTGATGGTTACCTGTATAAACTACTTGCCACAGAAAATGGAACAATGGTATTCCACAGCATGGAGTGGCATCACAATTACTCAAATAACTATCAGTGGCGGCCTGTGATGGAATGCTGATCAAGGGCACAGCATTGGAAGATCCATCTCTAGCACTTAACTGCTTTGGCAGTGATAATAACTGAAATTGTTATTTCTCTGACTGCCTCTGTGAGAATACATGGAAAAAAAAGACAGAGAGGGAGCCTTTAATTCCATACTTAAGGCACGAGTAGAAAATCAAAAAGCTTCTTTGACATCTTGGAAGAAACTTTGCAGTGCAGATGTGGAACAAGCCCACGGCCTAATGGTAAAGGCTGCAGAGTTGCAATGTTAATTAAATGTGAGACCTACATCTGTTATGCTAAGGTAAGAACATTGGTGGAGAAGGACTGGGACCCTGCTACATGAACTGGGGGCATTTAGGCAGATATGAATTAAGCTGAGAACTTTGAACAAGAGTTAAGATTTCAGCCTATCTCGGATGGAAAAGGGCAAGATCTGTTCTTGGAGGAGAGAGCTTATACACTGAAGAAATCTTGCCAAATACTTACCTGTGATTCAGATTTGATTTGTTAGCTTGAGCATCTGGTAGTCCTTCTAAATTGGTTACTTGAAACTGGTCAGGTCTATATGCTGAGATGCCAGAACTTCCCTGGCATACTATAGAGGAAAGAATCTGAAGACTCAGGGAGATGGGAAAGTTAGACTTGCTCTATTGTGTACATCCTGCTTAGTTATGCTCTATCCATACCATTCCTAGGAGAGCCCACAAAATTTACTTTTATCAAGGCATTGAGTAAAGGGCCACAAATACCCTTGAAAAATTCTTTGGTGGCTGTTCTCAGTTGGTTGGATAGGATGAAACTGGGATTCATGATTTCAGTTGGAACATTGGGATTCTGGTAGAGGCCAGGTGGGAGAT